TGGACACATTAACATACATAATTCATAGCAATCGTACAGAACTCTCTGTTTGGACAATGCTAATGCTTTCCTCACTATGTTTTCGGTATAAAATGAAAAACGAGATAACTGTCTTATTTTGTTTTGTTTTGTTTTTAAATGCAAATGAATTATGGATTCTCCAATGATACAAATTAAATAGCTGTTTTTACATTAGATGTAAACTGCATGTAAAATACAGTGCTCCTCTGAACATGAAGGGGCTGCCCTTGGTTTTTCCCAAACTAAATTCAAAATAAATCATTAATGAGTTAAAGTAATAAGTAACTAAAGCTGTTAGATAAATGTAATGGACTAAAAAGTACAATATTTCCCTCTAAAATGTAGAGCAGAGAACAGTATGAACGACTCAGATTTGACTTTCAATACCTGAGTAAATGTATTAATATTCCACCACTGGGCGCAGTTTATCTTGTCTAGTTTGAATGACTTCTTGTGACTTGTTTGATTTGATTTATTTATTTATTTTTTAAAATGGGACAATATGTATTAATAAACAATCACTTGTAAATACATGAGATTATAGCCATGTGGCTAATTTCCATCTCCAGTCCCATGGCAGGTTGATGTTAAACACAGAGAAGGCAACAATGCCAACAATAAGAAAATAATCTAAGTAAAACAGAGTAAGACAAGCAAAACAACATAGACAGAGACATGGTAGACCAAGAGCTGGGAGACCATATCAATTTATAAAGTGCCTGAGTGCTAGTTAAAGTGACGAGTGCTAAAGTGACGAGTGCTAAAGTGTCGAGTGCTAAAGTGTCAAGTGCTAGAGTGCCAAGTGTTCAAGTGTCTGCTTGTTTAAGTACTTGTTATATTGCACATTGCTCAAAATTGCACCAAATAGTAAAGTGCTAGATTGAATTGCACGATGCCCATGGCACACAACTGCAGGTGTGTGTCTAAATATTGCACAAAATTAGCATACATAAGTCTATTATGCACGTACTACTGCATAAAATTGACAATGGTGTCCCAACAATTTGCCTCATAGACAAATAAGCAATACAAACAATTTAAACATAATAAATGATCACAGTCCTGGTTTTCCAGTAGCCATGCTTTGAGATGTTTGGTAAAGGAGGTGAGAGTTGGAAGATCATGTAAAGTACTTGGTATTGTGTTCCAGGTCTGGGATGCACGGTAAGAGAATACTGCTTGTCCAAAGGCACTTTCCTGAATGGTATAACACAGTCACCTCCAGAGCCTGCTCTGGATGACCTGTTTGAGTTCTTATTGAGAAAGTCTTGTAGTGGAGGTGGAGCTTGACCATGGAAAATTTTATAAACTAACACAGAGTCGCTGTATTTTACTATGTTGTCCCAATTTAGACGTTCATGTTTCTTCAATATCTGGCAATGGTGGAATGATTTAGGTTTTTTATCCAGTACTTTTAAAGCCTGTTTATAGACTGTTTTAATTGGCTTTAGAGTTGTTTTACAGGCCGTGGCCCAGCTTGTTATGCAATAAGACAGGTGGTATAATTCCTAATTATTTAGATTCTTGTACTACTTTGATCTTTTTACCTTGTACAAAAATATTTGACCTGAGCGATTACCTGGCTTGACTTACAGCAGGAACTCGATATAGTGAGATGGGACTTCCTTGTGACTTGCACGTGCGACATACTCCCACCTCTGTCAAAGCCTCGACAATTTTGTTTTGCAGCTGACGCATGTAACGTATCCACTTATAATGAATCAGGTATTTAAATGCTGTATGTAACTTTACTCACGTCAATATTTTGTGTTTCTCAACTCGTCATACTTTGAATAAATGTGTTTTACTACTGTTTTTTGGTCTAATATTACTGATGTTGAAAAAAAAAAATTATCAGTTCAGGAATTACCCCTTAATACATTAAGTGTGATAACATGATAAAATGATTCTATACAAAACCTTGTCTACATTAAAATGATGCCTGGCACTAAATGACAGGTATACAGAAGAATATATTAGTGTTTCCCTCATTCATTTACAAGTCATGACAGAGATTTGTAATTTTATCTCTAATTGTTTATTGATCGATTGATTAGATTTTGCCAAATTAGATCGAATTAAGTGTCAATTTGTAGTCACCAATTAATCTGCATGTTTTGTGGACAGTGGGAGGAAACCGGATCACCCGGAGAAAACCCACGCTGACACGGGGAGAGCATGCAAACTCCACACAGAGAGGAACAGATGTCAGGAGCTCTCTGTGAGGCCGCAGTGCTGAACACTGAGCCACCGTGCCGCCCTCAACGACTATGAAGCTTTGGTAGCACTTTACATGAAGAGGCGTGCATAAGACTGACATGACACCAACATAACCATGACATACAACCTCATCACTGAGTGTCATTTGGTCAGTTATGTCATTTTGAATGCAAAGTTTTGTTTAATGTCAAGTTGTCACAACAGAGACATTTAAAACAATTCATTTTACATTCACAATGACATATTTGACAGAAAGACTCCTTCATGTTCATGATGCTGTCATGTCAGTCTTATGCACACTCCTACAAGTAAAGTGTTACCCAAGTTTTTACAGCACAACACCACACAGCTGACACTGATTTCCCACAGGTCTATCAACAGAGCGTACCATATCACATGCATACTCTGTACATTTCCTGTGTGAAATCCATCCAGACAGGTGTTGTGCTGGAAAACCTTCATAGCGTAATTCAGTCCTCTTCAACGTTGACAGTCAGACAGCAGCTTATGTCCTCTTAGTCCAGGCTAAGAAGCGCTTGAAGCAGTTTTTCCTCTTCTTCTTCTGCTTCTTCTGCTGCTTCTCCTCCGGCGCTGTGTTGTCTGAAAATCAAATGGACATGAAAATGACTCAGATATCGTCGGAAGAATAAACAACAATGTGAAAAACCTTAACAATGCAAACACGAGTGGAGGTCAGCATTTCCTACCAGATGTTGTGGCAGCGAGTTCCTGTTCCACGTTACAGTCCGTCGCTAAAAGGCTAGAGGGCTCCACTGGTCCATTTTCAGAGACGTTCTCCAGACAGTCCACCGGGCTAAACACACACAAACAGTTAATATATTATTCCCTAATCTCTCCCATATCTGATGACTGACATGTCCAAAGAAAGTCGTCTCACCAAGAATCACTCTGCCTGCTGTCCTCGTCCCCCTGCAGGCAGCATTCAGCTGGTGCAGGCTGCACCAACATCACACCTGGGGGTGATGTCTCTGACGCTGATCCATGAAATCCACTGGTGACACTTGAGCTGTGGAATAAATACACATACAGTTCAACACACAGCTGACTAGGAACTCATCCATTATTTATTGTTTTAAAAAACAGACATGGCTGACGAGGGGAGAGGAAATAGTCTTACCATTCTTCATGTGCTGACGGTGCTCCAGAGGATTCACATGGAGCCTGGACGAAGGGAACACTTGGTGGTGCTGAAGGTGTCCCAGGGGTCTCATTTGTGCTGTTAAATTTGAAGCCACAAATAGTTCATTATTAAATAACAGATCCAGTTATTAGCACTGATTTGTGTAAAAGTTCATTGAGCATCATAATTAATTTAAAGAGCTACAATGTGGAAGTTTTCTTACAAAGTCTTGGACTCCAATCTGTCTAAAGTCAGGACACAAGTTGTTGGTGATGGCTTGACAAGTATGACACCAGGAGGTATTTCAAAGGGTCCAGTTGTCCTGTTAAATGGAGACAGGTGCAGTTATTTGATGGCACAAATAATTTAAAAATAAATAACATTCTAGATATCACAAGTCCAGGTAACAGCACGGATTTGTAGAAATGTTCATTAATGATCATAATTAGTTTAAAAAGCTACAGTGAGGATATTTTCTTACAAAGTTTTGGACTCCAATTCCTCTTTCACATTTTCTCTTCCTTCTTCCTTCCTTCCTATGTGGAGGGTGCCCCTTGTTATAAACGGATGGGCAAGGACATCACTGGGGATAATCCTTTCATTGGGATCCACCCGAAGCATTGCCTTCACCAGGTCGATGCACTGACTCTTTTCATCCTCCTCCACTGTATTTATGTTCTTCTGGAGCAACTAATGTAGGAAACAAATGGCAAAAGCACAAGCAGTGAAGTAAACTTTCTGATTCATTAAAATAAAAATGATTAAAGTCCATCATTAGTAGCTACAGTGCAATCTATTTAAGACCTACGTTTTCCAAATGGCGTCCATCCTGGGAATTCAACAGCACGGAGATCTTGGGAACTATGACTTCTATGCAGTGCTCATAATGTGTCTGAAAGAAAGTCAAAGTGCATTTCCTCTTAATCACGTTAACTGATTACATTGTGAAAAATGTCAAATCTTAATTACAAAAGAGAATCTTATGGATGAGATGAATCTTGGTTTGTCGCACCTTCAATCTCCAGTGGCCAGAGTCTTCTCTTAAAAAGTATTTTTCCGTCTTCATGCCAACGTCCAAAAGATGGTCTGGAGGTGCACCCAGCCATTCCACTATCTGTCTGATCTGGAGAGAAAACACATCAAGTCACATCAACATATGCAACAGTATGCTACTTAACTCTTTATGGCTGGAAGCTTTCCCATAGTCAATATAACATTTATTATAAACTGCAAACTACTGCACTGACAGTAAGAAGCGTAGCTATCGTCAACTCAAGTTATCTCCACTAATGTTGGAGCTTCTCAAGACTACAGCCCGCAGCCGCCCATTTACTGCTGGCGAGAATAATGGTGTTAAAGCTTCACACATCTGTGGGACAAAGCGTATACAAAAAGATAGATCTTGGATTTTATGGATCAGTATCAGGTCATTCAAATGAAGACTGACTTGAATCGGATGATAATTTTAACTAACTTAAATTATTTTAACCCAGCCCTAAAGAAAACTCCACAGAGTACTTTTACAGATCAAGAGCTAATCATTCTTTAGGTAACAAAGTGAAGAGTATATCAGTGCAGCAGCTTTAGATCTTTAAAGAAGAGAGATAAAAGGAAGCAGTCAATGACTTACTGTTTCATATTTACTTGATGTCCAGAGGGGCCCATAACCACAAACCAGTGCCAACATCACAGCTCCTAAAGACCACATGTCAATGGCCTCTGAAAACGGCAATCCCAAAAAAATTTCTGGAGCCCTGAATATGAAACAAACAAACAAACACAGAATGAGGAACACTGTCATATTTGAACAGATGGCAGAAATCTCCTACAAACTAGTAGCATCATGATTCATGTCTCGTTGTAATTCACCTGTAGCCCATAGCTTGATGAGTCTTGTTCCTCTCCTCATCAGCCCTACAAGTTGGAAAAGCCAATGTGAAGTCGATGAGCTTCACCCTGAGGGGCTGCGCTGTTCGATCCACCACCATGATGTTGGATAACTTAATATTTGCGTGGATGAGTTCCATGGCCTTCAGGGCATTTAATGCTGTGGCCAGCTGAAATCACAGAGATCGTTGAGGACAGTTAGCGAATGAAGAAAGACTGACAGCTCTTTGACTTTAGTGTTGTGTCTGATGTTACTGTATCATACCTGTTGGACCACACTCCTGACATCACGTAAATTCAGGGGCCTACAGTCTTGTATGCAGTCACTCAGAGTCACATCCAGCGTCTCATAGACAATAGCACGTGTGCCCTGCCATATTCTGTGTGACTCAATGAACCTGACGATATTGCACTCATCCAGGTTCTTCGTCTGCATGTATTTCAGTATTTCCAACTGAAGATGACAAAATGAATGACAAGTTTGATGCTTAGTTGTTGACACACAGCTGACATAATCACAAGCACTACAGGCAGGGAAACCATTTCGGATATTTAGATGAAAGCAGAATAAATGCCAATGAATAAAGGGACCTACTTCATTGGTGGGTGCGCTGAATCGTTTGCGGAACTTCACTGCACAAGTCTCCTTGGTGTCCTTGTTGAAACATTTGTACATCGTTCCATAGCGTCCCTGTCTCAGAAGTGTCACCACTTCATACTTCCTGTAGAACGGGTCTCCTTCTTCGCAACTAAATGAATCTGAAGTCCGTTCTATCATGAACTGGTTTTCTTGAAGAGAGAGAGAAAAACAGGTCATCATCTCAAGTTAAACAGCTCAGTGTTGAGCAGTGTTGGGCAAGTTACTCTCAAAATGTAATGTATTACATATTACAAGTTACCTTCATTTGAAAGGACTCAGTAACTTTACAATATCCCTGTGTCGAGTTATAAGTTACTTATTACACTACATTTACATTAAGATTCTCAGCTCCTTATCCCCTCTGCTTTCCTGTTGTACATCGTTATATTATTGGAAACGCACTGAAGATGATAACGCACAGTACAGCATGACCCAGATTTGCTGATCACCAGCACCCTTCTATGATGTAGTCTGTAGTGACCATGCACTGTACTGTAGTGACATAACAACACACAACAACCTTTGGGGGATGCTTTTTTCTGGTGGCGCACTGGTGGAAGTGGAGTCGTGTGGATCAGTGTGGTTGAGTGAAAAATTAAAACAATAAGCAGTTTATTTTGGGTGGTAACGCGTTACATGACACTGTAAATGTAATAATATTACCCATAATTCTGTTAGTAACACGTTATATTACTTTGTTACTACTAAAACATAATACATTACTGTTATGTGTTACTTTTGTAAAGCGTCACCCCCAACACTGGTGTTAAGGCTCACTTATGATCAACGATACAAACGTATACGGACACAGAGTTTTCTGAAAGCTTACCGACGAAGGTGAGCTACATTTGTGTCAGTGCTGTCATGATACTGGAATTTCTAACTTTGATGCAATACCTTGAAAAATATCCTTATTTAGTATCATTTGTGAAACCACAGGGAAACATTCACGTTGTCGACATACAAGTTAAACTTTTTATAAAAAGATTAATATAACAAGGCTGACTTTTCTTTTAACTGGTTAGCAGAGCACAGCAGAATGACTGTAGTAAACATTAACAATGAGAGAGATGAGAGAGCACAGTTGGTTCTCGGTTTAATGCCAACTTCAATTTGACGTACAATACTGACGACAGATAACATTAATGTTTTGTTGGTTTTAAATCATGTTAAGTAACCAAAATCCAACATCATCCAAACATCTCTCACACTGAATAACATTTACTCCAGAGATATGGCGAACAAACCCAATATCCGCAAAATGTCCTCCTAATGTGAAATTCTAATGTTGTTAAACATTACAAATACTGTCAACCCAATTTTCATTCCAACAAAATTTTTTAACTCTATCCACCATGAAAGTTTGATGTCTCTACAAGAGGGAGAAACTGTCAGGGTTTGAATGTGATGTTCTGTTTCCTCTCTTGTTTTGAAAGTCTGTTGTATGTCTCCCCATGTCCTGTCAAGTTTCCCGCCACCCTGAATGTCTGATTGCTTTCACCTGTGTCTCATTATCTCCCATTTCAGAGTGTACATAAGTCTGTCTCCCCTTGTTCTCTGCTAGATTGTCTTGTCTTTCGTGCTGTCTGCTGTTCCTCTTAGTGTGTATGCCTCCTGAGACTGACCTTTTTTCGTATTCAGACCAGTGAGTTTGTGCCTGTTGATTTGGTTACCTCTACTACCTTTTGTTTACCGACCCTGACTGGATTAAAAACCCTGAACTTTGGATTTAGTCTCAGTCTGCATTTGTGAGTCCACCATTGTGTTTGATAGAAACAAACAGTGACTTACCTTTATCGCTAAGATTTGCCGATAAAACTGATTTTTATGTCAGTCGGTTTTCAGTTTGTCGAGAGGTCGAGTTTCTTGTAGGTCCAACGCTTCTGCTCTGTCGACTTGTCTCTGTCTACAATTTAAGGTTACTTCTACATATATCATGCTGAGACTGTGTTCTAGAATTTCTTTGCTTTGGTGGGTTCTGTTCCATTCTGGAGGTTCCATCTCATTCCGCGCAAGATGACGTCATAATCTCATTCCGCGCATGCCCATTCTTGATGTGTTTAATGAGCATGCCCTCCTGCTGCTCCTGAAAAGGCTAATAAAAACCACTAAAGTGAAGTGATGTTTCCTCAGTGACAACTTTTTAAATTAATGCTTTACAAAAACATAATTAAGAAGTACAGGAAAAATGTTTCTAACAGTACACAACACTTTTACAGCTACAATATACACAGTAGCCTGTTAGTGTTTAGACAAAATCCCTGCTTTCTCATACACTGCTCAATAAAACACCTTTATCGCAATTAACTCTTAAAAAAGTCTCCAAAGAGCATGAAAACATATTACTAATACCAATAACAGAGCTAAATATACCACAATATGTGTACATGGAATTTAGCTTGCACAAAATGGCGGCGACACTGGGCCCAGCTACGGGTCGGTCTATGCTACAAAGCGGGCACTTCACTCACACACATTTTACTACTCGACACAATCTATATCTAATTATCTCAAAATGTCACACAAACCCTCCTGAAAACTTTTTGACATGTTGACAAGTATTTCCAGTCATGTTTAACTCTCATAAAAACGAGAGTAAACTTTTGTCTAATGAGGTAAATAATTACCGTGAGTTTCCGGTATGTGGGCGGAGACATTAGCAATCAATCTCAGGATCTTAGATTAAGACCATCTTGTAGAGCACAGAAAAAACTTTACATCTTAAATTAATGAGCTTTCTAACAAGATGGCACTTTGCTTCACTGAAAGCAAAAGAGCTTATACAAAAATAATTGCAGACAAATATATGGGGCAAATAAACAATTTCTGTAGTTTAATAATCAACTCTAAGGCATACTGGTAGTTTATTTCATCATTCCAAATCCTATTAAATGATCTTCAACAGTGATGTGAAGTTTGGTTTCAGTATTTATTCAGATTTGATTATATATGCATTAAGTTATATTTTATGTATTCAGATAATTTAAAAAAAGGGGAGGGGGTATATCCCCTTCCTTAGCCTCCCATTTTTTCTAAACCCAACTACATGTACATGTTGGCAAAATGTAACCAAATGCGTTTGTTCTTGATGGAAAAGAAAATTCACTTTGTGGAGTTGTATTAACATAGTACATTTATTTTGAAAGAGGCTGCATGAAAACTGTACAAGTATTTTCATTGGGACCCTACTCACCCCCTCTGATATGGGGCATAAACACAAGATCACTCATAGACAGGATGGCAGGGGTTCAACATGCATTTTGCTCAGATAACAGATCATATTAAAGCTGTTACAAACAAAACAAGCAACTGAGTGTACAGAGTTAAAAGAGCTGACTTGTCCAAGACAAGTTGAACTACATGCCTGGTACAAACAACCAGCTGCAGCAGGCGAGAGGACAGGAGCCTAAAGAATGAGCACAGTCACCAAGGGCCTTATACAACCTGGCACTGATTAGGGGTGTGGTTTGGGGAGGAGACAAGCCTCGGGCTGCATTCACTAGCACTACATGCTTACACTAGGCTCATTCGAAATTAATAGTGGTGACAAAAGGCTGCAGTCAAGTCGGACAGTTTCCATCCTGTTAAACACACCTGTAGGCTACTTTTAGTTTTTCAGACAGTCGGATACCTTTCAGTATGGCTGAAGACATCGCATACGCATTCATCGTAGCCGATGGAATTGAAGCAGAGGAGTTACTTTTTCCACGAAGCTTGACTTGAACAGAGAAGGTGATTTGTTTTGTCTAAATATTTCAAACAAACCAGAGCTCATGGCCACTGTTACAGTTCATTTAGCCCAGTGCTTTGTATTTTTTGTGATCGCCACATGTTGAAAACTACATTTTGTCAAGTTATCAGGTAACAGGTTTAGAAAGTCTCCTACAGTTAAGGCAAATTAAAACACTTAAAAAAAAAATTTAATTATGTGACAACTTTATTGTCAGGAGTGTCAGGATCCTGAGTTTGTTTATATTCTGTTATCCTATGGACTTTGTTTTGGAGTTTTCTGTTTGTGTTCCTTGTTTCATGTTATTCATTTATGTTTAATCTGTTTCCTGTTTTATTTTGTAGATTTTCTCCTCATGTGTCATGTCTGATTTTACTTCCTGTCTTTGTGTGTTTTCCCGCCTGTTGTCTGTCACACCTGTCTCGTTAGTCCTTCCCTGTTCCCAGAGTCTTCCCTTCACACCTGTTTTGTATTAGTCTTGTATGTGCTGCTTCCTGCCTGGTGTTCTGTTTGGATTTGAGTTCATCATATTATCCAGGTTGGTTTTCAGTTTAGTTTTTTGTTCTGTTTCATTTGGACTTTTAGTTACTTGCCTGTATTGGATGTTTTCTATCGGCTGCATTAAAGCTCGCTTTTTGTTAAAAATTCAACCTGTCAGTCTGCATTTGGGTCCTCCTTGAACTGGCACGTGACAAAGTTGAAAACAAGGTTGTATTTTTATTACTTCATGTAAAGGTGCCATCGTGGAGAGAGGCCTACATGGTTCTCTTTGGTCAGCAATGATATTCATTTAAAAGCTGTTCTCTGCAAGCCCAATGAGTTCTGTATAGAATAATACATATTATCTTCCTTGTCCCCTTGTACAGTGATAGACTTCAAACACATTTCAGACATTCAAGAGGACAAGTGGAGGTAGGCTTAACTAAAGCATGTCAAGACCGAAGTATTATCATAGCTGCATGTTAGTTGGATAATTTTCTCTTCTGTTAACCAGGACCTTATGACCAAATTGAGACCATCTGCAGCAAACCAAATTACCTGTGTCAAACAGTGTTCTTGCCTTTCTATGGACTCTAACCAAGCATCATATAGGTGTGTCAGACAGATTCAACATCTCTAAATCTACAATGTCAACCAATCGCCATCAGTTTTGTCCCCTGGTCAACACACATCTGTCACATCACATTTCATGGCCCACAGGAGAAGCACTTCCCATCGTAAAACCCCATTGCAACAACCCCATAGCCTATTACAACAGGAAACAATTCTAATCAGTCATCCTCACCAGCTTCTGTGATGGTGAGCGTCGTTTTTGCCATGTTAATGTAGGTCACCACGGCAGTTGGCATGATGCGAGACCATTTTGCACCATAGATGTTGGCTATTGGAAGAAGATCCAAGATCCCCAGGCCCTGGTCCCAGAGGGAATGCACATCATTGGTGATTCAGCTTACCCTCTATTACAACGTCTAATGAAGCCCTACAGGGATGATGGGCACTGCCAGGCAGAGGTAATTCAACAGGAAGGTGAATGCAGCTTGTGTGGCAATTGCATGCTTTTAGAATCATTAAATCCAAGTTTTGGAGGGTCACGTGTCTGCACATGAAAACGGTGGCACCTATCAGTGCAACTGTCACAACATGCTGAATTCTCCATAATATCTGTTTGGATCCTGGTCACCAACTTGATGAAGAGGAGCAAGGTCTTCTTCATCAAGTCAGAGAGGATATTGATGACGTAAACCCACCACAACCCAACTATGAAGGTGCTTCTCATTAGAGACAGGATTTGTGCACTCATTTAAAGACAGGGTGCATCTTTACATTCATACCCTTTTCATTAGATATTCTTTACAAATGTTTGTAAGCTGGTGAGCAGTATGCCACAGGATGATGTGAGGCACCTCAGATCAATTGCCAAGGTTATCAGAAATCAAATACTAGCCTACATATTTCACAATGTTTTACAGCATTATGTGAGTTACCTTTTGATTGAAGTGCCTCTACACCATCAAGACTTCTGCTGTGCCTCCAAGTGGCAGCTCGTGGTAAGAACCCATGTGAAATCAGCAGGAGACCTGAGTATCAGTGGTCAGGCTGCTGATTGTCTGTGTCACACTGTTCAGGTGTTGAAGACCGACTGAGTTCAGATGATGGAGATTGACTGGGAAAGACTGGTGTGGAAATGATGGTGCCTGGTGGTGCACTCCCCACCCTGGAGCCACAACATATTTCATTTCAGTCAAAATAAGAGATGCACAAGTGTTGCCTCCTGTTGCCCAAGATCTGTCTTTAGCCCTTTTGTATGTGGTCAGCATGTTACCCAGTTTTTTCCTTACTTTTTCATTTGTGAAGGTACATCCTTTGCTGCTGGCTGGTTAGTTTGAATGTGACTAGGGGAGGTGGAAACTCTGCAAAGACTTTTTTACATGCATTTAAATATTCAAGTTTGGCATAATCAAAAGAGAATTTACCCTGAAAGTTTCCTTACTTGTTCCAGTATGTCAGAGGCGTACTGGTTATCTGGAAAAACAGATCTCATTAAATAATTGCCATCCAAATTTGTAATGGTATTAATGTGTCAAACTTTTCTTTTTACTCACCAGTTGCCAGTTTGTCAGCACTTTCTCTGCTTTCTGGTACTTTGATAGCACCTCTGTCATCTTTTAGAGTAACTATAACTTCATCCTTCGTTGCTGGTCAAAACCAGGTTCTGCAGGTACCTTATACCCAATCACCCAATCACACCTGTTTGAAATGGAGCAGATTTATTGCGTGGAAACCCATGACAACTGACAACAGATTGTGCCCCATCACAGTGATTGCACCATGTTTTGATGTAATTGAAGAATGTGTTCCTTATGCTTTACAGCAATTGTTAAAAAAAATAACCAATAAATGTATCTGAACTCTGACTCTGTGATGATTCTGTTTAGCGATTTTTATGTGTTCTCCTTTCCCCCTTCCCTTTCTGTTTCTGATCCTGGCAGGTGTGTGTGTGGCAGGGGGCGTGGCTGGTTCTTTCTACTGCATCTGACAAGGCACACCTGTGTCCACTCATGAACCTGCCTACATCTACCTGGTCTTCACTCCGCTACTCTGCCAGATAATTCTGTCCATTTTTGGTAATGCCAAGTGTACTCTTTCCAGTGTTGCTTCAGTAGTGATTTTTTTTGCATTTATGTTTTTGCCCTGTTTTCCATGTGCTCAGCCTTCGTGTTGTCTCCAGAGATCCAGCTCTCTACACTGGTGAACAACCTTCTAGCCAGCCAGCACCCTGCCTCCACTAAATAAACTCTTGTTTTCATACACCTGCGTCTGTCTCTGCTTTGGGGTCCAGCCAGAAACCAAAACTTCACAGACTCTGTGTGAATAATTATTATAATTAGCAGTTTCTGTTGCATGTTATGTAGCCAGAGAATAATGGCTACATGGCACATAAATTCCACTGTATTTATCATCTTAATGGTTTTATGAGATGTTGTTTGTGATATTTAATATTTATTCTAACATATGTAATGGATAGAAAAACAAATTTGTACCAATTAATTGGTGATACTTTTTAGGTTCAATGTTTTGAAGTCATACAAAGTGGATTTTTCTAAAACAACATATCTACTTTACGCAGTTTGTCTATCATAACTTTTATGGCTAACGAGTAAGCTTGCCAATAAGCAAGAATATTGTTCACAAAGAGTGTGGATAATATAATTTTTCAGTTGCTAATACCTACAATTAACACATTTCCCTCCTTTTTTATAACCTATTAAAAATTAAATATTACCATTTAGAGCCTACTGGCAACCCTACTCGTTGGCATAGCCTACCTATTTAGCAAGCCATCTCAATAATATTCTAGCCTACTGGCAAGCTTACTTGTTAGCATAATCTTCCTAGTTAGCAAGCTAACTTGCTAATATTCTAGGGCAAGCTTACTTGGTAGTTAAACCAACCTACTGAGCAAGCTAATTCACTAACCCTGCAGTAGCTTATAAGGTTTTTATTCAATGTTGCCAGGGATTTTGTTCAATTGTACAAACTTAAATTTGTAAAATTAGTTTAGCTCTGAAAAAGCACACAGTGATTTTTAAAGAAGCACAGGAGCAGCACACTGATGATGTCAGAGGGCTCTGATTGGTTGGTTGCCATGTTGGTCCAGGAGCATGTGGTACTTGACAAAATCACACTGTGCAAAGTTACTTTTAGTGAGATTGGGAGAACACACGAGAATTGGACTTGCCACAATCTATTAACAATGGCACGACTTCCCCCTATCCCTGATTATAGACTTATCTGATAGATTCCCTTATCAATTATAATCCTGACAAACTAAATCAAATGACGACAAAAGTCACACACACAGAATTTTACACTTTTTATGAACCAATGTTTCAGAATGGCACAATGCTTTGCCTCGCTATCAAGCACAGAAATAAGATGAATTTTTAATACTTGATGGCAATACAGCATTTTGTGCGTTACAATAAAACATCTTACCATCTTTGGACCTGTTCTTTCTTTACAATCTTCAAATATGAGCCTCAGACAGCAGTGATAATATTCAGACAGTATTATTTAATTTGAACCAGCAGCGGTGACAGTGTGTTACAGTATGTTGTTTAAAGACATTCACCTACATGTACAGAACTCTCTGTTTGGATAATGCTAATGGAAAGCAATCACTCAACATGGAGAATGCTGAGCAAAGAGCACTGAAGACATCCATCAGCTTCAGATGTGGGCTGGTCTGATTTGTCGTGCTTATAACTCATTTACACTGTAAAAATACATGTGATATAAAACAAAAACATGGGGCAAAGGTCAGTTGGCCTCCATGACAAAATATCATAACAGCGAAAACAACAGATCCAAGTAGCAATTAGCACATTACAACACACATGATGTTACCACATTGTAATGTGGGTAGTGGAGTCCTTATTACCACAAAACAAAGAACAAATGGTAATATTTCCATTAAACCTCAACTTAACAACTTATATCTATATTTAATTTTCTGGTCATGATTTTTGTTTTTTAAAGAGAACCAAATTATGATCCAAGATTTGATGAAATGACAGTCACTTATGTCACATGGATATTATAAAATGTATAGGCATTAAAGTTCAGTATGTCCAGACATGTTTGCGTTGTCAGTTTAACATCTCTTATAAGCAGTGTGACGTGGTTGAGCAGCAACCCCATGGACCAAACATGTGTTTCATAATTTATCGATGTCTTCAGACACAGGGAATATCTAAATGCCAATTTAGGAACAATCCACTCAACATCAAAGATCCATTACAGCTGTTCTCTGTAACACCTTTGACTTTGAATGAATGGCTGGATGAATAAAAACATGATTACTACTGCTGACACAGTGGTAAATATCTCAGACACATCGTCATAATACTTGTTTGTAACTGTATGTATGGCCAACAAAAATCATACTTTACCATAAACCATATATATCATTAGTTATAATACAGGAAACCTAAAAGTATGGAGCTGCAACAGTGACAGTATCTCAGAAATTTTGGCATTCAAAAAGTAAACACCAGCACTGAAAAACGAATTCACAGGGCGTGATTTATCTGCATACTAAATAGAGAATGTCTCTTCTAGATTCGGACTGTCATTAAAAACCACATCAGAGCGCAATAAAATAAAATAAAATCATTTTTAATGCGCCATTTTTTTTTCCTGTGGAACTTTTTCAGCACTAATGTTTCTTTTTTCAATATTGTATTTGCAATGGTAAAACCTACTGTCACTGTTCTGACTCCATATGAAAGAGTTAGGAAAAGTATTGTGGTGGAACTTTGAGTCATCTGCTGCCTATCCAAATTATCCCAATTCCATGTTTTATATTTGGGAACAAAGTGGAAGAGAAAAACTAAAAGAGGAGACATGATATTGGCACAGTCAGAAAGAGGTTTTAAAAAAGTCTTTACCTCTAGAGGGAATAGATGAAGGTATATGAGGGAACCCTGGAAGAAAAGAAGTTGCTGGGAGGAAAATAAGGCCACACAGGATGAAGAACATAAAAGGGGACAACAATATCAGATAACTAGATAATAATAAAATAATAAAAGATGAGAGGCACTGTGAGTCTCCTCTGTTATAACAAGAAGGGTTACACTGATATACAGTACACTGGTTTAACAACATATCAAATCTGATACTGGCTTTTACTGGAAGGCCCAACGTCAACCAGCCAGTGTCATCCACCTCCAATGTGATGATGCAGTTTTTAAAACTACACATTCAATGTTTCATTTATCAAAACTACACTGGATGTCTGTGGGAAGTGCTTCACTTGAACCTTTTAAAGAAGTTTTGTGCAGCTATGCATGAATACGCCACACTGTCATATTACAAAACCTGCACAAACTGTCATAGTCTGTGAAATTTAAAAGCAACCATTAAATACCAGTATCAGCCTTTAAAACACATACTGTACAAGTAAATACTTTTCATATTGCAATGTGCTGATGCGACGAAGGGCAACAACGATAAAACTGCACATTTAAACCCCTCAATGAACAAATATGGATGTAAACTCTCCTCGTCTCCATCAGCACCGACTCTTCTCACACGCAGTTTGCTGCTCACACCAGTCTAGTACCGCAGAAGTCTGTGTCTGAAATAAAAAAAGTTCATCTGACAGGCTTGGCATGGACCATTACTGACAGCAAATAAACCTACCACATGTGATAAATGATGGGCAGAAATATCACTCTGTTGTGACAGGATGAGAAAAGAAGACCTGGTTTACGATGTACTCTTTAACACTCCCTTTATCATATATTAGACTATCAGATGTTTGTAAACTCATTGTGCAGTTATGTGGGGAGGGGATGGATGGCCAATACAGCGATAACACACTCTGAATGTTCTTGAAATTGGTCTCTCACTGTGACAAAGTGCCCTTGATTGTGTCTTTGTTCTGTCTCCCGTTTTAAAGACCTGTTGGCCTCCGTCTAAATGACTGATGGGCGTACGTACAGCTGTAATTCACTGTGAACCGTTCGGCATCGCAGGAGGTTTCTGTTGCAGAGAAAGCAGGGTGTGAAAAAGCAGAGCTCTACATCACTGTAAACTGTCATCACCACCGGCGGCTGAGGACTGAAGTTGAGTTTTTTCGAGTTCCTGGTGAACCTCTTTGACGGCCATGATGCGTGAGAGCATGCTCTGTAGAGTGGTGCTCTCTAATGGTTGAGAGGTGTACCAGTGGGAACTGTTGAGGTCAGAAACAGAAATTAGACAAAAAAAAAATTTAGAAAAATATGTAAGACTTGCATGTTGCTGTCTACAAACAGCACATGCGGTAATATGTTTTTCTTATTTTATTTGAATTCCTGCATTCTCTTGATAGTGAGGAAGAGAGGGAGACATGGAAAAGGTAAGGGAGAGAGGTGGTATGACATGTAGCAAAAGGCCTGGGACAAACTCGGACCCAAGCGGCTGCAGTGAAGACTCAGCCTTGATGGTACATGCTCTAACATTTAAGCTACCGACGTGCTCTGGGAGGTTTTATTTAAATGTCCATTTAATCTGGACCTCTGTCAATAACCTAAAACCCAACAACATTTTATCTGGGCAAATAGGGTGAATCTACAACGTGTCAGTAAGGATACAAAGGATGCACATACTAAATGACACATTCCTCACTGTGTCTCTTTAATGCTGGAAGAGTGACTGACCTGTGAGTGTGCACATTCTGTTCAGGCTGTAGGAAAAACAGGTCAGTTCTCTTCTTCACCGACTCAGGGCTGGTAGAGAGAAAGATGAATGAGAATATAAAGTGCTTGTTCAGTTTCATATATGTGACTTTAAGTGCTGTCGTCTTCATCTGTTAGTTTGCCTATGTGCATGCGCATATGTCTCACCATCTAGAGAGGTAGAACTCGTAGAGTCTGACAGGACAGTGTAGAGGGTTGGCGACATTTTCCAGCATCTCCAGGTCTACCTCTTCCTCTCCCTGCTTTTTTCTCAATCGCTCTGTAAACCAGAACTCACTTATTCACTATCTGCAAACACATAATGCTTTTTGGGACAATTTATGAAACCGGTTTTGATGTTTAGAAACAGAGTGAGTATATAAAAACATTTTTAGGTGATGTGAAGCTATTGATACCTGATATTTTGTATAGTTGTACAGCTGCACAGACACATTACTATCACTGCTACTTTAATCTTTTAAAAAAAGACAATAATGTATTATTTCAAAACACCCACCTGCATGGGGCGTGCCAGTGCTGCTTCTCTGGTATCGGAGGTAGTGGACTTTGCCGGCTCGGCTGCAGGGTTTGGAGTGTAGAGTGAAGTTGGTAAAGGAGAGGCTTTGGTGCTGTGCCAGCGTGGTGAAGCCGAAGGTCTTGGTGCAAAAGAAGAGCAGCGTGTTGAGCAGCACTATGGGGGAGTAGGCGCCCAGCTGCTTACACTCCCACAGGTAGGACTCCACAACACGGGAGGAAACAGCACCACCTTCAGGAAGGAAGAAGTAGGGAAAGAGCTGAGTCAGTCAGCTACTCAAAGTGCCTTAAAGGAGCTATATGTAAGAAATCTAAAGCAAATAGTCATAAAATCATTCTAACACAGAAGACTAAGGAATAATGTTCATATAACATACTGATCTCACCGACAACGATAGTACAGCCAGAATATTCGCATTTAAAAAACATTTTTACGGTCCGCAAATCATGTTTATGTTTTGAATTTGTGTTTTGGCCTGTTGTGCCACCCACCGCCGTCTACCAGTCACGCAGTCAGTAGAGTCTCAGCATCAGTTACAGTTACGACTGAGCTACAGCAGCACGGCAAGCAGCATTAGCAGTGTCCCAGTACATAGCATTAGCAGCCGGCTCCTCCTCAGCTGTATCCCGGCAGCAGCTTTAGCAGCAGAGAAGCCGGACTTGCTCGAACAGTCCGCTGGAAACGGAAGATCAAGGACGCGGCGACGCAGCCCTGCCACGGCAGCCGCCCGTGGGCAAACAAATCAGTCTCCAGCGTGCCGCTGTCCAGCAACCTCGAATCTGTAGGGGAGGGGGGGGGGGGGGGGCGGACACGACTCGCGGTAGTATTTTGAATTTGAGTGCAGTAACCGTTTTGGCCACATTCTTACATACAGCGCCTTTATCCGGTTCTGGGTGCCTCAATGCCTTTCATCTCACTGCATGCTATGATTGAGAATGAAGAAATAATGGATGTATTAAGAGAACTGGATTTGATGTTAATGAACACTGGCAGATAAATATTTTAAAATCATCACTACAAAATTGAAACAGTAAAATTAAACTGAGTTTTATGGTGTCAACCAGGCATAAAAACATTTGAAATTAATTCTTAAAGATTAATCACAGTAAGGGTTGAGACAACCTGTGATATTAAAGCAGCATTAATACATTTTTGGCCACTTGGGGGCAGCAGAACAACCTGTTAATAGAACATTGAAATGTCAACAACTTATAAAGCTGACAAGGTGAATCTGTCAGCAAAGTGTTGCCTACTTACACATCTATATAGAATTTAGCCATTGTTAATATAAGAATATTGATTAGATTAATCTGACTCAATCAGAGGAATGGCAGACTCCGCCACTACCAATGAAAATGGTATGTAAAGACATAGTGGTGTAATGGCATCCTGAGCAGATTTAAGTCACTCTACATCTGTGTGTTGTTATCCAAGCTTCTCCTGTCCTGACCCACAGTGGTGGAACAGCGCCATCGCAAAAGCACAGTACACACACTCCAGTTCCTGCCACGTTAACACCATTAGCTCTGTTAGCACTATTACTGTTGTTAGCATTTGTCACACTGTTAGCACTGCTAGCACCACTGGCTGCTAGCCACCTCCATTTTGAGAGCTGTGTGAAGGCAATTCCCATTCAGACTCTGAATCAGAGATAACCTCTAAATGTTGTATTCAGCTCATTTAATATAAATACATTAAAAAGTTATTTCAGAAAACCCCAAGCCCCAAGGATTATGGCTTTATGTCACTGATCATACCACTAGGCAGCGGTTTCGGTTTCCAGAGTCGCAGCATCCCACTGATGTTGGTGGCAAACTGACTGTACAGCGCATCGGTAAAGATGTTCTCTATGCGGCCCTTCATGAACAGGTACTGTCCAAACAGAGGGAGACAGAAAATAAGGACTCAATAAAAAACACAAAAAAGGAATCCAGATGGACAGCAGTGACACAGTATGTGTGTGTGTACCTGCTGTATCCCCAGACAGAGGTAGAAGATGCTGTCTGGGCTGTAGGTCTCTCCATTAGGCCGTCTTACTTCTCTGATGAAGCAGGACAGAGCAAAGCTCAGCTCAGCGGAGTCACACTGAAGGACGTCTTCTTTAATATCCACGATATTGGCTGCAGGGGAGGAGACCATGAAACACAGCTAGTATAGAATAAAACAGGTTACAATGGGACCAATCAATAGAATCACAGGAAGAGATATGCTAAAATAATAGTAGAATATAAGATAACTGAGGCTCACATTCTTTCTGGTGTTTGTTTCGTTGTTGGACCCAGCTCCTCCAGGCTTTAACTCCATACAGGTGGTTCAGTTTGGCGGGGGCTGGAGTCACCACTGCAGTGCGGTTCAACACGGTTCGCCTTCGACTCTGGATGGATTGAAATGCAATGAAAGGTGGGTAGTGTGGAAAATGGTTGACATGGCTAAAAGCTTGACTTTGATTAGACAATTAAATACATGTAATATTCAAGAACATCACAACATCCAAAGACAGTGCAGTAGTGTATGTTAGAAAGATGTCAACATCCACAGATTCCTACAGCACTTGAATGCACCATGTAACTACACCAAGTGTCACCCTGCAGGAAAACAGCTTATAACTAAAGTCAGTGGAGAAAAATGTTTTAAATCAGAGGCTGATCAAATCAATCTGAGTTTACCAAAAGACAGCTGATCTATCAGGGGAGTCATACCCGTTTTCGGCTGGAGAAAACGTCCCTGGGTCTCTTCACTCCTCGCTGTGGTGCAGGTGGCTTCTGATCTAACGGTTCTGCAAAAACAAATACAAAAGACCTGTGAGTGACTGTCAGTGTGCATGCATGTATTGTTGAGTAGTTTTCATCTCTGCTTGTAGCAACTACATGCCATCCAGTTTTTTTTTTTTTTCATTTTACAGATTCATTTTTGTGTTCACTTTAAGTTATATGATGTCTCACCGGACGGGAAGTCAGTCTCCAAGTCCATCATGGGAGAGGAGGGAGGTTGATCCTCAGCACTGGTGGTAGGTGGGTCACTTGTCGTGGTGGTCTCCTCTGGCTTCGTATCAAGTTGAGGATCAGCTGACTCTGTGCTCCTCTCTGAGCTGACAGTAAGCGGCAGGTCGGCTTGTACCGCTTTTTGAGTCTCCTCATTTTCACAGCTTATGGGAGTGACCACCTCTGACTTCATGTCTCCACTGTTAGAACTACTCTGGTCTGCAAAAGACAGAGCAAACATTTGTCAAGCTTTATATGACTTAAATATATAAAAATCAGGACAGAAACCTTCCTCACCTGTGCTGGAAACAGGCCCATCTTTTTGTTTTTCTTCCTCTAACGCCAAAGGCTCTGATTGGACTGCTGCATCTATCATGTCCTTGCTCTGTGGTGGTATGATCATGGGTACTGGAACCTGTACAATAAAAACCACGAGAAACAAATTATCATTTGATTTTCTGCAGCAAATACTCCAAAAAGTACATGAATCATTCTGGATTCACTGGATTACTAATGTAATGGGACGTACAGGCAAAGGCATAGCCATCGGAACAGGTGTGTGCTGGGAGTACATGTTCATAGGCACTGGAATGAAGACTGGTACTGGAACTGGCACCATTATCACCTTCACTTTCTCCTCTCCCGCTGAGGAGCTAACTGAGGGCAGAGGCTGAGCTGGAAGACAGAGGGAGGAGGAAAGATCATGAAGAAGAGACAGTCAAAAATGTTTATTAGGAGGATACGCAAGAATTTTTACATTTTTGAATTGAAACATTTAGTTGCAATTTAATTTAAAAGATAAGATTAGACACAGACATCCTACTGTTGCACATAAAGTCATAATAAAATGTATATAAAAAAGTGTAAAACTGATGATTTAGTGACATCTTAGTATATTAAATATACTGTTTTTATTAAATAAAATGTATTATGCTACTACATGCAGTCTCTATATGCAGCTGCAATTTTCTAGAATGCAGATATGACAGCAAGTGACCAAAAAAACTGGGTAAGTATTGTTCTTGTTAAGGAGGGACAAAATATTTTAGTGCAGTTTTATTTGTGCTGCTTAAAGGTCACCTTATATTTATCATTGAGATGCTCTGTCAGTCATAAATCACCGTACACCGTAAATCACCATAAATATGAAACCATGGTTAAGAATACTGATAACCTCTGGTAATTTAATATGTAACAAATGCACCACTCAGCTCTCTGCCAACGTCTCATAATCAAATGAGTGTAGTGTGACTAAAATGTTTCATACAGAACCTTTGTGTTGTAGCAATTTCTGATAATGTAGACACTTTTTCACAGAGCAGGTGCAACACTCCCCTGACTGAACCTGTTCAAAAGAGTGTGCACTCAGATGCATCAACAGTTTCACTTTACAGGGCATCTTTTGTTTAGGGTACACAAGACCTCAGGCTTGAAAATTAAACCTGCTATTACATCATGTTGACATTTCTGCAGATTCCAGCAGTTGCTTTACTGTCTCAAGGCAGGCGGCAGCGTTTCATGTCTCTGGAAAACACTTCTGCTTGTGTCAGTGGAAAATTATCCTCATATTTATTTGACCATCAGCCCTGACACAGTGTCTTATTTCAGACACCTGTGGAATGATTTCCCTCTCACTAATCAACTTTTTATCTACACTTCATTTGTTTATGTACTGAATTTATTATTACTTTCAGGTCTGTTTGCATCCTCACACTGCTGTCTACAAGTAACTCAGTGTCTGCTGGGAGTTACCTTTTGTCTTTTGTTCTTGTGGCATTCATGTCTTGAGTACAGCCTGAGGATTACGGAAGCAGCTTTTGCTTAAATGCAGCTTAAAATGACTGTAGCCTTTTTAAAAACAGGTTCAAATGATTTCAGGTGAGAGTTACTAAATAATCACTGCTCGATAAGTTTTATTTAGACTGATGTGTGCAACCTTAATATGTGGGCTCGTGTGAACAGTTTTACATTCACAATCTTAACAAACTTGTGTTTTTGAGGCAGGTGAAATCTGAGAAATGTCACTCACACACACACATACACCAACAAAACTTTACTCACAAATTAAATTTATTGACACATTTTTTTGCATTTAACAAAACCATGACAATATTCTTTTAAACAAACAAGAGGCAGAAATGCAACGAGTCCATGTCAGTGTTATAAAGACAATGAAAAACTAAAAACATGCAGTTAAAGTGAAGTTATTAAAGCTTACAACAGACAGTAGGTTGTACAGGAAGTAAAAAAAGTTAACCATTTATGAAACATGTAATACAGGGCTAGAAAATGTCAGCCAAGACAAAGCTGACTCGCTTTGACAGCAGGTGGATGAACTGAAGTCAAGACTGCATCAGTAGTGAGGTACAGCAGGGAATCCAACCATCAGCTCTTATACATCACACATTCATAATAGACATTAAAATGGCGCGCACCAGTACAAATAAGATAACCGCACATCCAAATGAATTGTTTTCATCTCTCAGACACATACAGTTAATTGCAGATTTTTATCCTCATGTAATCCTGACAGCTGTATTTAAAATGATGGCGCACCAGGCAGAGAATCTCTTTCATAATGTTTATTGAGAATGTTACACTTCATTTCCTAGTTTGGGCAGCTCGTCCTCAGGTCACTATGGCAGTGACAGTGAACCCAAACTAAATGACCTTCACCTAAGATCATCTATCAGCTCTGACTGCCCCTTTGAGGGAAAACTGTTCATTTTGACAAGAACTTGACGGCTCTTGTCATTTCCTATGACACCTCCTTTAAGGTCATCTCCTTCACAGACCAGCAGCTGATTTTATGTAACTAACCAGCATCTTTAATTCCAGCTGAATTATGATGGGTCTTTTTGAAAGAATTAAACGTGCCCTATCTAAAGTTACATACTTTATCTACAGTGGGGTGAAAATCCTGTAAAAGCAAGCCACTGTTTTACAAGAGATTCCAATAACACAAAAATTATTTAAAGGTATAGTGTGTAGGATTTAGTGGCATCTAGTGGCTGAGGTTGCAGATTGAAATGCACATAATTTGAGCCAGTGTTTAGTTTATCCATGCTGAGCTACTGTAGAAACAACATGCTGTGGAAGAGAACCCCTTAAATCCTACACACTAGACTTTTAATACTTACGCTCAAGTATTTTATTCAAAGTAGAAGCACATTTAGCAGCACAGTTGCCTGAATCCAGCTCCATGAACCTGCATTACTGTTGCCCTGTTGCATATACGTATGGAACAATTGACAGTGGCGTTTTTTTCATGGGCTGCATCTGGGCAAGCAGGTAGGCACAAGTGACCCTAATAAATGTAAGGATCAGGTTACATACTGTATGACAGGTATCATTACTGCTTGTGAAACAGTGAATGACTTTTCAGCCTGTAATGTAAACTGGTATCACATCATGATGATGTGGTGGTAGTGAAACAGAACCCTCCAGAAATAAAGTGGCAGCAAAGTCCATTTATACAACAAACACATACACAAGTAAACAAGTTAAAGAAACACTAGATTCATAAATTTTAACCTTTTGACAAATGTACCGTGATCAGGATCAGCTTTAATGACATGTTAATAAACTGTGACATAGATTCAATAATGAGGTAAGATTTTTTTGTTTTTTTTACTAACATGTTACAGTACGGTCAGTGAAGCACTTAAGGAAGTCCCTTAACCTTGTGTAAACTGTTAGCCCATCAGTTACAGACCACTTACAGTAATACCCCCTCACAAAATAAATATGCTTTCTGGGAAGATACAGACAGCCATGAAAAACTGTTCTGCACAAATACTGCTATCTTTACTGGATTATAAAAATACCGAAACACCCCTGTAAGTGCATAACTTTACTGCACTACCACTTTGCGAGTACACATTCATGCAACTACTGTAAACTAATGGGTGTTCTGCTTCTGCTGTCAGTAAGGTTTTGGGTTTGACTTCGACATACAAGCACAGAAAAGGAAGAGAAGGTCACTAAAGTAGTGTAGGCGTGAAGACAACCAGTTAACCCTGTAGCTGTTTGATCTTTGTCCCAGGTCAGCGCAGAAGACAACTTCTAATGCCAGCAGGTCAGGAGGCTGTGGAGAGAAAAACTCGGGTGATACACTCGACCCTCTTAAGAAGTCAGTTCAATTGACTTGGAAAAAGCAGATCACATCAGTGCATCTGAATGTAATAGCATTAACAAAACACAAAATGGGGCTCCTTGGGGATACAGCTGTGGTTTAAAACTTTTAGTTTTACTATTTCAAGGGAAAATTCATCATCTTTCATGTGGATGTCCAGTGATGCAATAAAATCCTATGTGTGTGTGCTATACAGACAGAGAGCTGAGTTCAGCAGCTGCAAAATCTGTTCTTCCTTCATCCAGTGGCATCATTAGATGCACCAGTGACGTAGTCGGAAGGAGGAAGAACTACAGGCTATTTCAGCTTTGACAGGGGCATGTTCTAGATGCTGCTTAAAAGAGGACCTCCCTCTTTCTCTTTGAAAACTAGCTATGTTTCCAAAAGCAAATATGGCCTCCAAAAATAGGAGCACAGAACCTCACGCACAGAAGATTTAATGGTACATTTTACTTTTATTTTTTATTTACAGTTTTTGGCTGACTTGGATATTCAGTCGTATTTATGTAAGCCACAGTACACAACAGAAAAAATGCAGCAGAGTGAGGCCGGGGCTGTCGTACATAAGGATATGGCCGGCAGAGTTCTTCCAGAACCTGAGCTGCCAAGAGCAAACACCGACTGGTGGTGCCTTTGCTCATACTGCCCTCAAGTGCCAATAGAAACTGAATCATTCTGCTGTAATGACTTCCAGCATGGGCATTTTGTATTGGATGCTGTCGCCCACACCAAGAGAACAGTATAGTAACGTGAGCCACCAAGTGAAAGAGCCTGCATCTGCGTTACTATGCATAAAAGTTTTACTCCTCACATGGACAGGCGTTTGCTGGAGATCTTCTTCAGGGTCGCGAAGATAAACTAGAAAAGATAACCAGCAGGGCCAAAATGGCAGATGACTGCTGAGTAAGTATTTTTGTCATCTAATGCTAATGTAAGTTACTTTGTTGAGTTGAGCCTTAGTAGTAGAGTAAATTTAAGTTGGCCTTTTATTGTGAAGGGAAAAAGCGAAAGGATTGAAGTAGTAATGTCCTGCCGCTGACAGTGTGAAAAATACAGAATGGCTGCTGTCTTGGTTCAAGCTGGTTTAGAATACAGAGCCTCCATTTTTTTTATTTTGTTACCTGCATAAGCAGGCTGCACTATGTTTTGGCTGGGTGTCTGTAGCTCACACAATGCATGCTGGTACTTGTAGGCACTGCAGGCACGGCTCCATGAGCAGGCAGACTCCGCTTTGTCGGTCAATATAGCACGCACTGAGAACATAATTGCTTCTACATTTACCATCAAACATGACTGGACATCCACATAGAGGTGGAAAATTTTCCCTTTAATGGTGTTATTATATATTTAAAGTGTGACTACATTAGTTTTTGTTGTGTCAGTCAGGGGGCTCACCTTATGTTTCCAGTTCAGGAACTGTTTTGTAGATCAGTCTGGTGTGGTAGAGCTCAAAACAGGGCACAGGACAGAGGCTGGGCTCTCCTGAACACGTCTTACAGTAATACGATGTCTGCCTCCTCAATGTCTTGCTCTTCTGCTCACAATGCTTCATTTCTGCGTGCTCCCCCTCTTTTCTCTCCCCATCGTTCTCATCATGGGAGTTTACTCCCTTGACTTCCTCTGCGTCTTCTTCCATTTTCCTCTGTGGCTCCTCATCCTCATCCATCTTCTGCTTCTTCTCCTCCTGCTGCTCTTCTTCCTCCTCCCTCTTCCTCTTGTGTTGTGAGCAGACCTTGCAGTCGGAGTCAGTGTCTCTCTTGCCCAGGAAATGGCGTCCGGTTAGGCGTGCTGGCACGCCATTACAGGGCTGAGTTTCTCCCTGAGGTTTCGGCGACGGCGGCAGAGACGGAGACGTAGATGTGGATGCTTCAGCAGATGACTGGTCAGGTTGCGAGGAGCTATCTAGCAGAGCTGGTGCAATTATTGAAACAGCTAGTTGTGAACAATGAACAATTGAGTGAACCAAAAAGATGAATGAAAATGAATTAGATGGTGTGTAGCGTTGTGACAAACACCCTACAAAAGGCACACCAGCCAGACTGGATCCTTCTATCAGCGCTACTTTAACTAGATACTAAATTATCATTGTTAATGTTTGCTGTGGGTATTAGCATTGACTGATGTATACCAATTATTTTAGATTTAAACAGTGAAAAAAAGTAAACAAAATTTTAGTACCAAAACCATTTGTTTTTAAAACCAGTGAGAATGACAAAACTCAAGCAAACTTCAATGTTATATTCTGCAAAGCATTAAGTTCAAAGTTGTTTTAGTTTCGGTGACAATTCAACTTTCAATAATTTCAATTCACCTCACCTGATTTGTGTCATAAGAAAATATTTAATCACAGCAACTGCTTCAGAGTGAAACCTAACCCTGCACTACCCTGAGCTGTTTGGATTGGTCAATAAACACAAAGAGATGCCTGGGAGAAATTTCTCCTCACATCAAGCAGGACTGAAGGTTCCATCACCATCAGAGTGTGTACAGGGATAACATACAAAATGTAAACAGTCGTGGTAGAAAAAGATTAAAATCAAGTCAGATTTTAAATACTTAATGCTTGATGTTTCAAATGTCTGTAGGAACAATGTGCAGTAAGTACACTTGGTATTTGGACACTCTGTGGTGCATTTTACTGTCAGGAAGCTGCTGAATGTCACACAGTCCAGATGAAATTTGCATTTTTAAATCCTGCTGTACAGCTCATCTGTGTCCACTGTTAACAACATGCAACAAAGTTGAACTTATTTAAGTGATTTTTGTAGTTACCTGCTGTTTCAGTGGAAGATGTGGACATCTGGCACATGCTCTCTTGGTCCATAGTGAAGGGCCGACACAAAACTGACTTGTTCTTCATTTGACGTCGACGGGGGACAGGCACTCGCATGGCATCAGTCTGGGTACTGGCCTGGAAACAGACAGTACATAAATAAACAAATGAACAAAAGGGGAAAAAAGAAGATCTCATGTAGTTCTTAATCATAAATACACTGCAAAGGACAGTGTCTTATTTCTGACCAGATCTAAGTCTAGACCCACAGTTGTATGTAAGGTCTAACCTGAAACAAACACACACAGAGAGTACATACATGGTCTAGGTTCTTGCCATCAGTGGTCGGAAGTGCTCCTACAAAAGAGGCATAAAGGTAAAACAACATTTCATAAACCCCACTGTGAGAAATGTATTTCATAAATATATAAAAACAATGAACTGATATGATTATATAACTAGTGATATAACTAACCAGTAAAAGCAGTATCTGCTGTTACACTGGGCTGAGTGGCAGAGCCATTGGCCAGTGACACGACATCAGCTATGACAGGGTTCATCTTTGAGGAGTGGTGGGGCTGTGTTGGAGCTGAAGGAAGAGAGGCACATACTGAAGTTAGAACATTTGGGGTCATTTTACATGTGAGAATAATGCTTTTCTTTTTAATTCTCCCTTTTCTTCTCACTGGGTGCACTCTAAAACCTGACTAACACAGTGCTGGTTTGTGCTGATCGGGTGTGGTTTTCACTTCATTTGAATTTGACAAACAAAATTGCATCTGCCCCTTAGGCTGACATGAGACAAAGCTCTGTGCAGCACGCAAATGTAACACCACCTAACCAACAGCTTTGCAATAATACAGACTAATGACAATGTTTTTCATGTGGCTGAATATAAATACAAGAAGTTCTGTACTGTCTTAAAAGCTGTAAAATGATACATTAAAGTTAATCACAGCATATCTGCCACATGCTGCCGATTAATTATCAGCTGACAGAGATTGAGCCGAGATTGTTAAATTCTTCATAAATATTCACCAAACGTTTTTTATTAAACTGTGGTTGTTGCTTAATTAATCATGAACATTTAAGGGTTTACAGGAATACTCGAAGACAAGCTTTAAGGGGATTTTGCAACAGTCAAACCCAAAAAGCAGGTAAAACATGTTCTTGCAGCAAAACAACTCCCACATACTGTGGGAACTAGCCAGGTCTACTTTTCTGTAAGCTGGCACTTGTGATAAAGGTGTCTTATTTTAACAAGCCTGAGCTTTTTGGCATGTTGACTCAACATCATTCTGTATCACGCTGATGAGATGACACAATTTACCATATGGTGTTTGTGGGGCCGTTCCAGTACCATTACTGCTGCTGTGTTGGCTTGTCTCAAAATGCACGTTGCAGTACTGCAGCAGGCAGGTCATGTTGCAGAAATTACGGACTGAGCCCAAACATTGCAGCTTCTCAGTCATGTAGCCCTGTTTCCTACAACTGTCACATCGACCCATCTGGACAGGAGAGAAGGAGGAGGAGGAGGAGGGAAGAAAAGACAGGAGGGCAGAGAAGATGGAGGAAGATTAAATAAAAAAGAAACATAACCACACTGAACATACAGTAGCACACTCCCCCTGATTCAATAGCATACAGTGTTATAGTGTGGTGGGACATTTGTCTTCTTACCCCATAGTAGAGTACAGTGTACTGGGACATGCAGTGGGGTCTACAGAACTCCTCCATCCTGCCTCCATAGTGACTGTGGAGCATCTTCTGGCCGATGCCAGAGCAGTAGGTGCAGGGACGCCAAGGATGATCCTTGTTACGAGATGTCAGGTCATGTTTGAAAAGCAGCTTACAGCCTGGAACACAGGATAAGTGGGGTATTACATTACTTTAATCAGAGTACCACAAACATACATCGAAAAGAGAGAGCTGTAGTTCGTTTTGTCAAGATTGTGACTGGACAGAGTTGACCAGGTAAACTAGCATTAATCGGACAATGTAGGAGAGGATAAAGGGGAAAAGCCACTTCTGGGTTAACTCACTTTCACTGCAGAAGACCAGGTCCTGTTGGTTGTAGCTGATGGTGTCAAAGTGCACTTTCTCCTGTTTACAGCACTCACATTGAATCAGAATATTCTTCTGGGTTTTATACTGCTCACAGCACTTCCTACCACAGAACATAGAAATACGTCCCTGCAGGAAAAAAGGCATCACTGTTACCATCATTATTGTTAGCTGATGAGGGTTACACTCATCATGCAACTTGCTATAATGCTATGTTCACAATGAATGTAAAGCAAATTTTTGTCTCACGTTACTCGAACAAATTTGGCTACTGAAGTGTATTCCTCGACTGGAAAATGTGAGCTGTGCTCCTTACTTGGTGACTGAATAGCAGCGGCTTCATGCTGAACTGATTGCTGCACTGATGGCAGGTCAGCTTGGAGTTATCACTGGTTCCGCCCTCTGCAGGTTTCTGGGGCTTATCAGCAGGTGCTCTGGCCTGGGCCTGCCCTGGGACAGAGGGGGAAGATATGGCTGGGTAGGGAGGCACCAGTGGGGGCACTGAGCTATGACTGGGATGGTGGCCTGGGTAGGGGACTGAAGATGGGTAGTCCTGAGGGATGGGAGGGACTGAGCTGGCTCCAGCTGAGGGTCCCTGTTTAGGGGCGTCTCTGTGGGAGGAGTCCTTTAAAGCGGAGGTTCCATTGGTCATGTCTGGCTGAGAGGTGTTTCCAGATTTCTGTAAAGAGAAGGTGGGAAAGTAACAGCAACGTCACATCTTGCTATAGGCAAACAGATCCTCCATCAACTACTTTAGTTGGATATAAAACAGCTCTTATGCTATTGGTGAATTTACCCTGTATATAGTAACGCAGTCATAGGAGCAGAAGTTACGAATGGTGCCGTCCACCATGGCCAGATGATACTGAGGAACAGCTGACACCCTGCACTGGCAGCAGGGGAATGCAGCACCTACGGAAAAAGGGCATCAGTTAGTACGTGAGCTTGCACCATGTATATTAATTAATGATAAAACAGCTTTCACTGGCTCTGGCTGTGATAGAGGCTGCAGTGATATAAAGTTAGGTGCCACGTTTAACGTTTTAAATTCAGTGAATCCTTGCCATGAATGTATTTATATAAACCAGTAAAAAGATTACGGTCGTCACTGAGAAGATCTGAAGCCTCTTTCAATTTCTGCATTTAAGATCACATATACCAGCCAACCTTGGCACATGAGTGTGTGTCTCTGTGGTGGGTCCTACCCATAAGAACGTGTCGAGGTGGTCGACTCTGTTCCACACAAGCAGATGAACAGTAAAGCTGGACTTTGCCCCTTTGGTCTCGTTCCATGATGGTGGAGGACGCTATTGCCATTTTGTGACAGCAGGCACAGGAAACCAACTTTCTGCAGGTCTGTGCAAAAACACAATTAGTATTGACGAGGTTTTGCTACATTCGCTTGCTAAACATGGGGGGCTGTGCATGATTTGTCTGATGTCACACAATTTCATGGTAGTCAATGTGACTTTAAAGTGCCTGAAACCTTGGTCGGGACATCCCTAAAAGGAACCAAACAAGATTAAAAAAAAAAAAGATCTTTTCGATAACACATACCTGTTTGTAGGTGTTAATACAGGTGGGGCCACAGAAGTTGAGCTGAGATCTTTCAATTGTGAGCGTGTGACAGGAGCCTGAGTTGCTATTACAGTAAAGTCCGCAGCCTTCACAGCAGTTCATGGCTAACTGCCGCATCTTGCGCCATGTTACAAAACAAGCGTTACTACAGAGTCTGTGCAGACGACCTTGATGGGTGACCTCGTGCTCAATCTGCTACAGAGATGAAACAGTCAAACAGAAAGACCATAAAGAGATTTAGACTGCAGAGTGGAGACGCAGAGGACCTGGGATAATACTGCTGATTTGGCTTATCAGGCGTCTTGACCAAAATTTGTCTTTATCTTAAAAGCTTGCCTTATATGTCTCTTACCCTGTTAGACACTCTGCAGACACTGCAAAAGGGCTTTTCAGGAGCTTGCCGCTCCACTTGTTTCTCAGGCGGCTTCTCAGGTTTCTTCTCCAGTCGTTTGTCAGTCCATTTATCAGGACCCTTATCAGTCTGTTTCTTCTTGTGTCGAAATACAGACAGACAAAACTGGCCACAGAAGTTAATGTAGGTGCCCTCTTCTGGAATCGTGATCATGTCCCTGGGCTGAAGAATCTCCCTGCAGAGAGAACAGCACAAGAAATAAATTTAGTTGTAAAAAACATAGCATGACGGCAGGATAGGGGTTGGAACATACAAAGTGGCAAAAGGGACGAAAAGTTAAACACTGAATTCAAATTGACAGACGTGGGTTTGCAGAGTTATATAGCCTGGCACTTAGACAAATCTGTGAGCTCATGTTTTATTTCCTGTGGCAGATGTATTTAGTCTCCCTCCTGTCCAGACACATTTCCAGCAACTTGAGATTTGATAGGTCAATCACAACTGTTTATCTAATATGGGGCATGTTTGAGATGATGACTTAAAAAGAGAAAAGGCATTGAGAATTTCTTTAATATTTGTCCACCAGTAGAGATTTGGCGATACCTTTTCTACCACAGGAGCTATTCAGGATGGGCCATGTACTGTAGCCAATCAGCACTGGATTCTTGCGTGATCTTGTGATTCTCACATGATCTCGCGAATCCAGCTGCCTCGCAGGGGACATGACTTGTGCAGACATGGGGGAGGAAGGTGAAGTTGTAAATACAGAAAACTTTAACACTAGTTACAGCGCTAAGTATCAACTTTAAAACCCCACCCCCCCACAGGACCAATTGAGACCAGTACTTGTCACTTTATACAAAAATAATAATATTTATCCTGAAATAATGGCACATACACACATATATCATTCTAGTGAGGAAAAAAAGCATTTTATAGGTATACTGGATTTAAATTCTGATGTGGGCCACTGAAAAGACACTTTTTCCAACAATAGAATTAAAGGTCATACAGTAAATTACAAAAGGTGCTGTTATCCACAAAGGCATTCTATTAAAAACTTAACCAAAGGCTTTTGCTGTCAGCAATAGGGTGGAAACATCTGGCTGCCTTGAGGCACCTGTTACATTCCCATTCATCTATCCAACTTAAAATTTAGAAATAGCAAGCACCCTAAAACAAATATCATTTTGCTTATAGTGCTTTTTATGTGGTAAATAAATACACCTTATAGAAGCCCAATGCCAGCTTATTGCAGCTAAATGAAACCCTGATTTAAGTTTATAGTGATGTCATGTGGAAACAAAGATGTACCTGTTACACTGGAAACAAGATCGGTTCTTGTTGGCTGGAGGCAGATGGCCAGTCAGACAGACCGTGGAGCAGAAGAGCTGCGTCGAACCTTTTCTTTGGAATGCCGTTTGGCCTTTCAGCAGAACCTATGACCATTTACAGAACCATGAGACATGAAAATAAGAAATTAGAAAAGAAATAAAACCCTACATCACTGCCCAAAGACCTAACACGTTAAACATTATCATTTCTGCTTATAATGTCATCAGTATAACTGATAAATATAACAAATATTTATTTTTCTGTCAATACTCCACATTAAAATTCAGAGTTTATGTAAACATCTGTCATCAGTAATAACAGTTTTTCCTAAATAATTTGCACGTCTATGCAGATGCAGCACAAAGTGACAGCAGTACCTTAGAGCAGCCACTGCAGCGAACACTACCGGGAACTGCAGGTGGAGGCGGGCGTGGGGGCGCTGGTATCAGAGCTGGTAGAGTACTTGGGATTGGAGCTGGTGGTCTGAGAGGGAGGGGAGTCATGGCTTGTAGGACAGCTCCTCTACCTGGGATGAAAATGGCTGCTGGAGGGGGAGCTGGGACTGCTGCTGGCACTTTAACGGATAAGAGGTGAAAGGTTGGTAAAGAAGAAGAAAGTTAATATCAAACACGGTAATGTAATGTATTGTAACAAAACACAAGCCTGCACTGGTTTCCATTAAAGTTACTTAATGTCAGAGTTTAAATAGTGAAAAGTGATCAGTGAATTCATCCTTGTGGTGCATTCCCACATGCCTAAAGGGATACTTTGCTGATCATCAACCAGTGTTTCATCATATCAATTTGGGTAGTATGTGTTAATGGACTATATTAAACTTTCCTCTGTCTTGCCAGCGCTCAGACACAAAGACAAAAAGAGGCAGATCGAGAGACAGAGAGCCCCCTTCCAGGAAAACCCACTAAAAATAGGCTACAGACTCCTTTTCAATTTCCAGTGGACACGGCTCTACAGCAGATAAGTATACCTTTCTGTGTTTGTATTTTTTTTCTAGTGTTGTCACACTTGAGGTCATGGACAGGCTGGAAAACTGGTAAGTAAACAGCAGAAAGCAGCATGAAGGCCAGTACGAATGTTACACTGATTATTTCTTTATATATATATATATATATATATATATATATATATATATATCACTTATTCAGTCTCTTTTCAAACTGGGTGCACAACTAATTTTGAACAATGTGCAAGCCCTGTCTGGGTGGAGAAGAGAGGCAGCAATGAAGTGGATGAACCTACATGTGTGACAAGCCGCCCTCATTTCAGCTTTCTCCTGCAGGTTTTCAGTAAAGTTGACAAAGTTGTTCATCCCTCCAAGCAGGATATTTATCCTGCCAGCTGATCCAACTAAACAGAAGCAATGTTAGTGCCAGGATCACAAGTTTGCATGCACCGATGATTCATGCTGCCTTTTGCAGTTACACTTGTTCACCCAATTTCCCCTGGGGATCAATAAAATATTTCTGATTCTGAAAAAAGACTGTTTTATGAGCAAAATCATACTTAGCCTAGTTATAAATGTGGCCAAGTGCTTTTTAGGCAGGTGACACACTAAACTGTGAGGTGAGTGTACCACCTTTAACAATTAACTTACACAATTTGTCAAAATATTACAAAAGCTAAAATGAGGCTTGCTTTCCATGTTTTGGGAAATGACTAACACTAATGGAAGGTGAAAGCAAAGAGTATTTATTTGGTCAGTGTAGCCAAACTAATCCAAAAGCTCTTGGGGGCAATAACCAAACTGCCCACAGCATATCCTGTGCACTCTGCTTTATAGCCACAGACTTTAAACAACCACCCACATTAACTTCCTGTCTCCATCTTAACTTACAGACATGAAGAGAACGCAATATGAGCACTACAACCTGATGTCAAAATGAGAAAAGCATTTCACAGACAAAAAATAAATGAACTCACTGGTAGGGGGTGCAAACGCGTTTCCTCCACCTACAGAGTAGACAGAGCTGATCCTCAGCTCTTCCTGAAATGAGCACACATTAGGAATTCAGATTTGGCTTAAGTGGTTAAATATGCCCTTCAGGCAGTACTGTTGTAAGTTAAAGAAAAAAGTTATCATATTATTGATTTAAAGATAATGGGTCTCATTCATGAAACATGAGCAGAACGAATTTGTTTGTAAACTGTTCACAGAAGGAAATTTACATGTATTTTGCCATTCATTAATACGTTAGTAGCTCTGATCTTTTCATAGGCACTAACAAAATCTACACCTGCTTCTGACGCCTCGTAGTGCTTGTGTAAATAAGGAATGCACATAAATATTGTTTGTCATTATAAGAAATTACAATTTTAATGTGTGCTGTGCTCTGTTGTGTTCACAATACGCTGATGCAATTGATGCATCTGTTTGAGAGCTGAGATAATTCCTGACAGAAGTCTCTCCGATAATGCAAGCAATGAGCTCATCTGCAGCTGCAACTGGGAACAGCCTCCTCTAGCTGTTTTTTTTTTTTTTTGTGCGTACGTAAAGTTTCAAACCATCAAACCATTTTCCTTTAATTTCTTGGATAATTCTTTCAACAGATTACACGGAGTTAACAGCATTGGTTACCTCCTTCCAGGCCGGCAGGATGCACCTATCCACAATGATTATCACCTCTATATATGGTGGTCACTGGATATTCATGGGCGGGCATGTATGCTAATTGCTGAGTAGCGGAAGCATGCTGTCAGTTTACAACTGATTGGCATTCATGAACATAAACACGTGCCTACGATCAAATCCGAGTTTTCCGCAGCATTTATGAATCTGGTGTAGATTTTTAGTACCGAGGTGTTTTATGTGCAAATCTACTCACAGATTTACAAATATTTCATGAATGAGACCAAATGTGTCTAGTTTCTGTGATGCTATAAAACATTATACTATTATTAACAATAAGCACACAGTATGAGCTGTCTGCAGCTTCAACCCAAACACATCATTATTGTCTTCTTGAACCCCCTCCCAGTATTCAATATGAAACTTGAACAGCAAATGCATACTGATAACTTTACCTCCTGATGCTCCAGCTCCTCTTTGATCTGTCTGATGGAGCTCTGAGGCAGTAAGGCAGCATCATAACCCTCATCAATGGGCTCATCTTTAATATTGATACTAGCAGGCATTGGGGGATTACTGTCCTCTGTTGGAGCTGCCTCCGACCTCTGAAATAATAAAAGAGTATTCATGATTACTTGCTGAAGATTCAAAGTTTTTATAACTGCAGTTATTTGACAGTCTTTCCAATCGTTTCCTGCCTCTCCCTGTTGGCTGTCTTCTGTCTCCTCTGTCTGGGTCAGGGTGCCTCCATCTGACAGAAAGGTAGAAAAGAAAACACAGTACAGACATCATCCAAGAGTTTCCAACTACACATGTTCTGCCCAGGCCACCATAAACGCCAGGAAATTAACACACTGTTGCAAACAATTCCAGTGCAAACTATTTTTTTAAGCATTTTAAAGCTCCTTTTTTCTTTCTGTGGTGAAATAGTCCCTGCGTGGTCACCTCATGTTTTGTTCTGATAAATGAAAGCTGTCCAATTCCCATGCACATGTACCATCCAGCCCAAGAAGCCCATTGAAATTGGGGTAGTACACACCAAACCCTGACACAAACAAGCCACAAAAACTACAAGATAAAGATACAATATAATAACAGAATAGTAAGAAACTTAACAGACAAGGCAACGATTAATTTTGTTTAACAGTCTAATTTTATGCAGCGAATACTAATTGGGTCGTTTTATGCAAAGTGGCCCAGATGTCAGAACTTTTCCCAGTTCAGGTCGTGGATTTTAGTGAAGGATTTTTGGAGTCTGGCCCACTGCGATTAATAGCATTTGCGATTCTTTGTAGGTATATTCTAAGCCTCACGGACTGCTTATTTTTTACTGGACTGAGTTGACATTTGTACTGAACATTCAAGATAAGGATGATTTGCAACAATGTGACAGACAATTTTATAATTTGCATAAATAAATATATATCACTACTACATCTAAAAGTTATCAGGTCGTGCATAAAAAATGTAGTGCCACAGATCTTGTGAAATACAGCTCCTGAGGTCAAATTTGACTGTAGCCTATATTTTCCCAGGAGTCACTATTTTAATTTCCTTAAAACCTTGAACTGGGAAAAAAGTAAGATGTTAAGGTTATGTAAAGTTTTGCTTTGCACTGGAACTATCAGACTGTTGTTGATGCCTCATGAAAAAGGAGAGGGGCTTGGTAAAAAATGAGAAGGAAAAATCCCACTTAATGGGATTTGTTATGCAGAACAGCATGTCAGTCGCTCTCTCTTGGTTCAATTGCGTCCACTGCCGATCCAGCACAACGTATTGCTTTTGGCTGCTAATAAAGTTCAGCCAGAGCCAATGGTGCACAAACTACATGTGACGATTAGCCACCGTCACTTAAAAGGGTCACTACAGCCATTTAGTACTGCACGCCAGTGAACTTGAAAGACGAAACAAGAGACATAAAAAAGAATGGTCAAAACCAAAGCAGCAGAGGCAAATATATCATAACTTTTTATCTCAAGTATGGGTCAAGCCCCCAAAATATGGGATCCTACATTTCCCATAATGCAACTCAACAGTGTCTTTTGTTAGACCCTCCCTGCCTGGTAAATACCCATTTTTTTTGAAAGCCCTCATTACCCTGAAGACATCACTATGACACTGTAACGGTTATTTTCTGACTTCAGGAAGCTTCCTCCAGAGACACAGAGGACATTATACAACTGTTTTCACAGGCTGAAAGGTACTCTCTGGCACAAGTGAAGTGAACCTGATGTGTAGAATTGGTGATGTGACAGCCCAAAAGACAATTTTCTTGTCTCCAGATACTACGATACAGATGATAGAAACTTGCAATAAAGCAATGGAAATCAATCTTGTCTTTTACAACAGTCTAAACTGTCATGTGTGCATGCTGCTTTACCTCGGCTGTTTTCAGGTGTGTGGTCCTGTGAGGAGTGGGAGGTGTTAGCGGACCCACTGCTTGCTTCCCTCTCTTCCTCCTGAGGAAAGGGCTCCCCTCGAGTTGTGTTGTTCCCTGCTCCTGGTAGGCCTGTTTTTCCTTTTGTCTTACCCACACTAACATCCTCCAGGGTGCCCATCGGCAGGGCGAAGTGCCAGTCTTCCTCTTCTTCTTCTTCTGGCCCATACGAAGGAAGGCCATCCAACGCATCATCAAATGCTGCCCCTCCACTTCCTCCCCCTCCTCCTCCTTCGGTTGTACTCATGGTAAACGAGGAGCGTCGGACAGATGCAGGGGAGGAAATGGGAGGAAGGGATGACTCTCCAATCTCCTCATCCATCTTCTCTTCTTGTCTGCTGCCGTTGCTGTCCTCTTCTTCTACTGGTTGGTTCTCCCCTTGTCCTGAGGTTTCGTCTACTCCCTTTGTCTCGTCCTGACCTCCACTCCTGGTAGAGCTGGCAGAGCCCCTGGAGGAGTCAGCAAATTCTCCAAGCCCCATTACTTCATCAAAAACTCTGGACAGGTGCTCCTCATGCTGTAGGGGAGAAAAAGGTTGGGGATTTTATGAGGCAATAACAAGTTTGGCACTTAAGGAATGATGCACTTTAATCTTCTGTTGCTCAATGTTAAACCTAATAACTGTTTAAAACATCATAATGTCAAATGTCCATTACTGGTTACTGTGTACCCTAACTATTAATACCATAAATTAAGATTCAAATTTTCAAAATAAAACATTGTTTTACTCGAATTCATTTGAGGAATAAAGACACCTGATCACCTGTGACTTAAGTGTTTCAATTCAGATGTCCAGTAAACCCACTTAGAATCCAGTCCACAGTTATCTATAGTTCTCCCCTTAGTACATGGCCCCTCAACAGAGTGAAGTTGATCCAAGTTACACTCAAATATAGACCTTTATCTTGTTTGTTTTTTTACTGTTTTTGTCATAGCAGGAAAAGCACAGGTGGCTCTAATAACATAAATGATGGCTCTAGACCAGTTAAAAGCCATGTTAATGAGACAGTGTGCACAATACCAGGGCCCTGTGGGTGGGTCATCTAAATGGAGTGCAGCCACTTTCAATTGACATTAGACAAATCTTTGCTTTCCTGGTTATAACGTGTCCAAATGCTTGCCTTGAACAAAGGTCTACTGGTCCAACTAAACACATTGCACCTCTGTCTTTCTCTACTACAGACTTGACTTGCCAAGAAGATGCCCACAGTGCACAAATCTGTCTCCAGCAACAAGCCCATTTACAATACAAGGGGATGGAGAGCCAACTTTACCCGTCACCTTCACATAAGCACAACAACCACCATCTGTCAGTAGGCAGTGTAAATCACTTTGGTTAAATTGAGAAATATGATTTTGTGTCCATCTCATCAAATAACGCCCTACTCTCATTGAACATATCTTCTTGGTGTCCACGTCTTAGGGAACTGGCTGTATGAGGCTTTATGTTATCAATGTCCCACTACTATAGGTTATGATGGCTACAGGCCCCATGCTGTCCGACCAGTGGTATGGAGGGGGCGTCCCACCAAACTCCATTTAAAATTGGTCAATATCTCGCCTCCTGGCATAATTGTAAACTTGTACAGACACACACATCAAACAACCCAATAGGACATTGTGGTAGGTGAGTAAAAATAACATTCAAGTGACTCGCATTTAAAATTCAGTGAAATCACTTTTTTATTGTTCGCAGCAGCCCTCCGCGATGCAAAGGCTTTGTGGAGCCACCAATCAACTGCAACACACAGTCCAGCTGCAGTGCTGGATTAATAAACTCTCTTGAGGTTCATAAAAAGACCTGCGCCATATTCTGTTAAACATACCCGTTTGGCGACTAATGCATTGTCAGGCTGTTAAACGGAGCTTGGCGTGGTGGCATGCATCAGTGCCGAATAGCAGCAAGCTACTGGGTCGACTGCTAGCTAGCTAATGTTAGCTTAAATGTGCACATCTCGACCGGAAGCTAGCCCACAATTACTTAATGTCTTATTGTGTGGCTGTTTCAGCTAATCCATTTAGCTTGTAGTACGAGTGTTGCTACATATTCTAGCTTTGTGTTTCTTACCTTTAATCGTTTAAGTCTAAATTCCTCCGAGTCCGCCATGTTTTAATTATGCTGCAGACGCCGCGCTTCCAAACATCCACCCACCACTGAGGGTTATGGGTTATGTATGCAAGCTACTAACAAAAAAGATGCAGCTATAAACTCAATAAAGCACAATGCTAACGCCGGTAAGGCAGGTTGTTACAAATGTAAGCACAAGGACACCACCTAATGTTTTGGGGTATACTTTCTGAAGATAACAAACACTTTTACATATTAAATGACCGTTAAATGTACGTTAAAGGCGACGACGAAGAAGAAACAGTTCGGTGTGGAAGATTCAGCGTTACCGTAAATTTGCCTGGCTTTTCTTCATCTTTTACTCCTGACATCGTAGGTAGTTCAAAGTGATGATATCTTCCTCCAGTTAGAAGTATAATTGCGTTGCACCAGCGTAGTCCGCTGTTCTAAATACGTAATTATACTTTCCAAGTCCACACATGCAGCCCGCACGCCTAACCCGGTTTTTTCAAATGCCCTCTCCAGCGTCACTGTGCTGTATTCAAGTCAATACGGTAATTCCAGCTTTTATTGACCGAAACACTGCACACTGTATTCAGTGCATTTTGACGCACAGCCACGTCTATACGCACAGCAAATAAAATCCATACCCTCCATATTCTTTCCCCGTAATCTAACACCATGCATAATGGATGTCACAAAACTAAACATATTTTCTTTAAATATAGCACATGATTAAGGTATTTGTAAATACGTTTGATCGACAAACTGAAACATTACAATATGTGGTAATTCAAAGGGGTATATATACAGGACAAAGGGCCTAGTTTATCTCGAATTGTCTCGAATTTATTATGTAAAAATATGTAAAATACCACCTGCCAAAAGTCATCTCCCTCACATGCCAGAAGATGTACCCAATTACTTACATTTAAGGGCAGGTGTAACCTTATTATTCAGATATTTGTAATGGGTTGCAGTCATTTTTTAGATAGAATTTTGAGTGGAAGTGATTAAAAAAGACCTGCAGTTACATTACTTAGTTAATTCATTCTTGACCAGTCGGCTAGCTAAACCCTTGAGGTCCGACAATTAGTTCTGTCAGAATCAAACCCCTTTATTGCCGTGTAGATTTTCACATAAAATAAATTTCCTTTAGTGTTTTGCTGCATAGAAAAAAATTACAAAAAAAAATACTGAAAATACTATTTACCTACAATTACTGCCTTGTATTGTATGCCTCCACAAACCAGTCAAAATGCGCTCACAGTTTACATCCATGTCTGTGAAAATACTGATACTTCACACACATCTTCCACCCAGCCACACAGAAGATCTGTACAATCAGCACAGTTTCAAGTTGGGCACCCAAGATTAGTGTCACCAATTCAGTATCTGACCAAATGCAGCATCTTCTGTTCCTGAGTTATGGCACTGAGTAATGGCCAGAAAAGTGTTTTTCCGAACATTATGATCTTACAGTGAAGTTGACCTTTGACCTTTTGGATATAAAATGTATTCACTTCATCATTTATTCCTAAACATTAGTGTGACATTTTGTCATAATAACCATATGGATTCTTGAGTTATGGCCAAATGTTTTTTGACGTCACAGTGACCTTGAACGTTGACCTTCATCCACAAATTCTAATCAGTTCATTGTTTAGTGCAAGTGGACGTTTGTGCCAAATTCTTATTCATGAGAATGAGATGGATGTAAGGTCAGACAGGAGGTCTGTAATCCAGTCTGACATGTTCAGCTGTGGGAGCTTGTCCTGCAACAGAGCAGAGAAGTGCACAGACAGGACCCTGGTGTAGGTTTCTGAGGATTCTAAAAAATTAAATGGAGGGCCATGTTGACTGTGTCCTCTACAGATATGCAGGGGATCCAGGAGTGGGCTGATGATAATTTTGAGGTGGAACAGGACAAGCCACTCAAAAGACCTCATAACCTATACATGACACAAGTTCTCCTAAAATATGTTATTCTGGACAACAAAGTGGGTTTCCATTGTTTGACTTAGTGTAAGTGAAAAAAAATGTACAAAGTGTGATATAATATAGATACTATATGATGTTGTTAACATATGTCTTTGTACAAGGTAAACATTACAAATCAAAAAATAAGACTTCCTGAATATAGAGGTCAGGGCGACAGGTATGTAGTCATTTATCCTGCCGTGTTTGTGTTTTGGGAGACGAGGATAAGGCTGGAAGTCTTGAAACAGGCTGGTACTTGTGCCTCCAGTGAAGTGTTGAAAATGCATGTGAGCATTCACCGGAGTGAACACCATTTGGACAAAATGCTTAAAGTGCAATTTGGAATAAGGCCCAGAGAATAAGAAGAGAAGACACTGCCCTCTAAGCTGTCTTCAGTTTCACCATTCTACATTCTGGATCCATCTAATCAATGACTGCCAGATCAAAATCAGTGGTAAGACACGCATCTCATCCTGTCAGGGTCACAGCTCCTATTCAGCAGAGGGTGATCTTAGCAAATGTGTGGCTATAGACCATTTCAAACTTGACAACATAAACATTTTAATGGGTTCCAACATCACATCTACTGAGGTCCCACTTAAAGCTTTAATAATCTTGCACCCCATCAGCTATCGGTCTGTTGAAATTTTAACATCTTTTTATAGAGATTACCAAAGAAGACGAACCTTCGCTGTATGTTCTACTGTAGCATTTGGCAGCATGGGCCTGTTTGTCCCCAGATAATCTACTCACAGCAGCCAGTGGAGATGACACAGTGGACAAGGGTGTTAAGGCCAAGTGACAGCTGTTACAGCAGTGACCAAAGGGTTGGCATAAACGCTGAGACCAACCTTAACTGTATAAGGAGACCATGCTACAGGAGCCTTTGGCAGCATGAAAGCAGCATGTGCCTGTGGTGCTGCCTCAGATATAGGTGGACTGGGCTGGGTTGGCTGGGTCTGTTGGACCCCTACTAATCTACTCTCAGTAGCCAGTGGAGATGACACTGTGGAGGAAGGAAATGCTATAACATAATAGTGACACTGATGATCAGGACTAGGCAATTCAGTGTGGGAAGAAAGTGGAAATAAGAGATGGTCTGTTCATTTAGTTTTGCTACTCAGTTTTTGGTGATCACTCTACATACACAGAGCATGTAGACTTGGGTTTTTTTTTTAACCTGTATTCATAGGGGATAGGCTGCAGCGTACCACACGCATGAATCTGACACTAAACATTGACCAGCCTTTACTGTATGAGGAGAGCACGCTACAGTAGTCTTTAGCAGCATGAAAGCAGAATCTGCTGGTGATAGACACAAATATCTGCATGTATGAATACAAATCAATTTTTTAAAAAGCTAATAACAACATAAATCTTTGTCAGACGACAGTTCAGGGGTTCCGTGATTGTGTCACATCCAATGCGTTCCGCCTCCTTTGCTCTCCACACGGACTGTTTACTTGCATGCACCCAAAGCCCGCTCAAATGTGATTGGTTAAATCTACACGGACTACAAATGGACTACAAATGGAAACCAGAACGCTTTCAGTATCGATGACGCACGACCCGCCTACTCTGCCTCTGATTGGCTAGTACTAGTTGTCTTCGCTGTTTTGATTGGTTAGATTCGGTCAGCAGCAGTGGGATTGGTTAGAGTTAAGGGAGAATATCAGGGTAATCCAATCAGAGGCAGAGTAAGGAAAAGTAGGGCGGGTCATGCCCTCGCCAGCATAGAAAAAAAATACTAGCCTTCCGTTACCGTCAGATCTGCATTCATACGCAGATATCTGCTCATTCTCAGGCACCAGCAGTGACCTGTTTTCATAACGTTGGTCGCATTAATTGTATCCATTACGGTATTTAACGCATGACTTCGAAACAGATTAACCAGAGCAGGCTGTAGGCTGTCTTTCAGTGAAAGTCCACTCTATGTAAATGTATTTCTATGTGCGCTCAGCCGAACTTGTCATCGGGGTCAAACAGCCGTCAGAACGTTTTCAGGAAGCAGCAGAGAGGGGGAGTCCACCAGACAATTGTTGTTCTTGTCGCTTCCTGCGTATCCTCTCCTTGTCTGACAGTCTGGTCGGCCGACCAGCGGAGCGTTTTTTCGGCGTAGGTTGAAGTCTCTTCACCGGCGGATGAATGGCAATGACTGCAGCGAGAGCGGTGGCAGCGGGGGGCCCGGCGTCTTTGTCCCGGTTTAGGGGAGCGCTGGTCGCCGCTGTGCTGGGAGATTGTGTCGGGGGAGAGTTTGAAGGAGCGGAGGAGGTTCCCATGGAGAGTGTGCTGCAGCATCTGAGCAGCCTGGACGACGAGACCAAAGGGAATGGTTAGTGAGAGGATGAGATTTCATATCAGTCCACAATAAAGGAAATGCATATTACAGGATGGCTCTGATGGCAGTGGGGGAGACACATGGCTCCCTGCTGACCCCAGACCTACTGTGCACCTTACTCATACCAACACCTATTCACTAGGACTGTTTATTCACTACTAGTCTGCCATTACTTAGATCTTGATGTTAAATTGGAGCAATAGTGTGGGTCAGTGAAGTGTTGCATAGGGGGGTTACCAACACTTAAAGATCATGCATTCATCCTGAATGAATGACATGCATTTATCCTAACATAATGTACAGTAAAACCCTCAGTCATGGACATGGGAGACGTTAACCTTCATGGCATTCTGCCAAAGAGGCCTTTCTGGCAGAATTCCCTGCATTTTTCTTAAACCCAACCATGAAAAGGTATCATGGCAGAGGACAAACTTCTCCCAGCAGCATCAATGATTGATACCCAGAACAGTGGCGTCACACCAAACTCTGGGCCCTGTGCAAAAGCAGTCTCTGTGGACCTCCACCCACCAATCCATGTGTCTCTCTCATGCACCTTATTGAATTGAAAGAAATTCCCTTTCTTTTTTATTTTTTTACGCACCATACAACTCGTGTTTAGTGATGGAGCCTAGTGCAGGGGCAAACTAAAGCATTTTGCACTTTTTGACAGGCATGAAAAAGGCCTTAGAGAGCCTCCACATTTTTTAACAAAGTTCAGTCTCTCAGCTGACTTATCTGGACAATTTTAAAATTTAAAATTTTTAAAAATTTAGTTATGGCATTAATTACTTAGAAATAAAAAATTGCAAACAAACTACAATGCCCCTGACTCAGAATGGTGTCCACAAACCCAAAATACTCCATTTATAAAGGAGAAAATCGAGCTTCACTTTCCATT